AAGTCAATACGCACAAGAGCATCTGCCCGCCCTACCTCATGAATGATGAAAAGAGGGTGAGAAGAAACAAAATCAACACAAATATTAACGGCAGCAGGTAAAAGAAACGATGTGCCCCTTCCACATCGTCCCCTCACTCGAAAGCTTTGTTTTCTCTCATCTCATCACCTGACGAGATTGAAGCCCCCTCGCCAACCCCCATACCATAACATCATTACCCCCCCCCCCCCCCCCCCCCCCCCCCCCAGGTTCCCTCGATGGTTAGATGCAATCTATCCACTGGTGATTGTTCTTGAAAAATAAAATGAGAAGAAAGCGGTCATTCGCAGGAGAGGAAAGATGTCGAGTATGCTTACTCTCAACTACAGAGGGCGTTTTTCATAAATATGTTGTTTCAGGCATTGAGTATCGCATCCACGTACAAAGTGGCTAGTTGCTCGACAATGAATGACCTTCAGACAGTGTGACTTTGAGCTCGCTTCAAGAGAGAATCACATATAAATTATGGATTTATCGAAGAGCTAGCGCTCTGATAATGACGTGAGAAACATTCATCGTTTTTTATGTACGTTTGTTAGGGATTTTTGTAAGACCAATGAAAAATTCAAAAGGTACAAAGCAACTGATGTCGTGACAGTTTGGAAAGCAAGTTTTGTCGTGACAGTGTCGTCTGCTTGGCTTCAGAAATCGGAAGGGCATTGAAGGGCAACCCTACCCTTGTAATAAGTTCATTTGCATGAAAGAAGAAATTTAAGAACTGTAACAGAATAGCCAAAGTTTGAAAGAAATCGAACCAATAATAAGAAAGTTATTTAAACATATTCGAAGAGCTAGCGCTCTGATAATGACGTGAGAAACATTCATCGTTTTTTATGTACGTTTGTTAGGGATTTTTGTAAGACCAATGAAAAATACAAAAGGTACAAAGCAACTGATGTCGTGACAGTTTGGAAAGCAAGTTTTGTCGTGACAGTGTCGTCTGCTTGGCTTCAGAACTCGGAAGGGCATTGAAGGGCAACCCTACCCTTGTAATAAGTTCATTTGCATGAAAGAAGAAATTTAAGAACTGTAACAGAATAGCCAAAGTTTGAAAGAAATCGAACCAATAATAAGGAAGTTATTTAAACATATTTGTGGCTTACGCCCAGTAAATAAGATCGATTGATGAGCGGGATTTGAACCTACATCTACTGCTTGCCGGGCAGCGACTCTACCACCAGGCCATCACTGGTCCATGGCAGTCACGATGAACTAGCAAAAATAACTAAGCTCTCCCGATTCATTCTGAATCATTAATATTCATTAGTCCGCCATAGGACAATAAATTTTTATAAATGTAATGCTTTTCTAAGGTATTGTGACCGTTGTAAACATGATATTACTAAGTCTAAGATACGTATCTCAAAGTGACTATTAGGTCAGTAAAGTGTGACGTTGTCGCAGATAAGTCTCCCGTTTGTCGTTCTGTACAAAAATATCATTAATCTCCTAGTCTTCTCCCCTGGGGGCACTTCCCATATTCTATTATGGATACTAAATATAGGTCCTCTTTTAAAATAACATACCCACCTGAGTCATACATTTTTGAAAATTGAAATATGAGTCATTTTGTGTAATGGAACAAATAGGAAAGTGGTGCATCACTCCATCACATAGACATTACCGATTCAGCCAGTTTGTACAGCCCATATACCTAGTGATTATAACTTTCGAAAATGCATATCCTTCTCATTTCTAGTCCGATTTCATTCAAACTGTCACCAGTAATTTTGGTACAGACTTATCGCCCTTTTCCCTGTGGCGCGCCCAATCATTAGAGAAAATAACAAATCCTCAACGTTGAAACGGAGACAGTCCATTCATTTGGTGTAATTTCGGGGATCGCGCGATTAGAGTAGAATTTGTGCTGTGTGTGGGACGCAAGGGAGTGATGATTGAAGAAAGCAAATTATGTCAAATCGGACAGAATCTGGACTAGTGATGACCAAGCACGATACAGGTACTTAACTCTTAGCCTACACAGCATACCCAATATTGACCCACTTACCTATTAAATCCCAATTAAAACCAGACTCGGTCCATATCAGACGTGTCTGTGGGGGGGGGGGGGGGGGGGGGGGGGGGGGCGTTCACACCTCACGAAATCTGGTCTACTTCCTGGATAATCATTCTCATTACGTAAAATACATGCATTACATAATTATTATAGGTGAATCCAAGTTTATTCGGAAGCTGTACGACCCTGAAACCTGCCGCTTTCCCGCGAAAGACTGCATTTCCGAAATCGACTCTATCACGAATACAATGGAGTGGAAGAGTGCAGTGCACTTGAAAGCTCATGTTATTGTCTGAGTGGAGCGGAAGTTTTGCCGCGCTCCCAAACCCGCCCGCCATTGTATTATTTTGCTCAATGAAAGTACTTTGGAAAAGTAGTTCATTGTGTGTAGTTTTTTATCATGGGAACGCCCCGTTCCCAAGGTACGGGAAACATTGTTTCCTCTTTAATGTCATACGACGGTTACGACCATTTAATTTTACAGGTGTTTATGGGTCTTCTCTCCCCTCTCTCTCTCTCTCTCTCTCTCTCTCTTTCCATCTCTCTCTCCCTCACCCCGCCTCTCTCTTTCTCTCAGATTTCTCACTGAAGAAATGAGTCTCACTACCTAAATTTCTCACGTATTTTTCAACAAGACACGGTCATTTTTCAATGGCATTTAATAGTAACAGGTGATTGCTTTAAAGGCACACTGTCCTACTTGTAGCTACTTGCTCCCTCTATATAAAAACTTCCCAAATCGGTGCCTGTTGGTCCCCCATGATCCTCTTTTTCTTATGTTAAATGAGAGCTGAGTTAATGGGATAGCCACCTGTCACAGTGACCTCGCTGGCTCACTGGGTGGTCTAATCCCTTCTGACTGAAGTAGTAAAGCTTCCCTTTAAAGGTACTATGTCCCATTTGCAGGCCAAAAAATGAAAAAGTTAAATTCCAACTGCATTTGAAAGATAATACTAATTTAGAACTTCCCTAAAAAAAGGGGGGCTTGAAAATGTCTTCAAGTGGGAAAATAACGACTATTAGTTGTCAAATCGACTTTAGGGCTATAGAGCCCAAAAGTAATAGTCTTGATTTTCAGACAATTGTACCGAATGGTCATACGTTTTATGCTACGCAAAGATTCAATCAGTTTAATCTTGGCCATCACAAGAAGTGGGTTATTGATGTAGACAAATGCTCATGTACCCTTTACATCTCTTTTCATGTATGTTATTACCAAAGAAGACAACAAGCCAGTCAGTCACTCAATAGTGTCTGACAGTGAAGTCTAGCAAGTAAACAGGTTTCCTTGCATAATTTGAATATGAGGACACTGCTAACGTTTAAATTTCACAGACGGGACATACATGACATATTCATAATTCCTGCAAAGTTCTACACAGAATTTGAGGTTGGCTGCAAAAGGGACATAGTACCTTTAACATGAATTTTCGGGGTATTTTATTTGGTAAGGTGCCAGATCTCTATCAAGGATTTTCTAAATACATTCCGTCCGCATTTTGTCACTTTACATTCAATTGTGTTCAACTTCCCTATTTTGATAAAATATCCAGAGATATCAAAGTGAATTCTAAAGGAAAACAAATAGACAAAAAGATAGGCCCACTATCCTTTCCAGTATGATGAAAGAGAATTTAGGGTTTGATATCATTAACAAAACTGTAAGTTAACTCGCCACCCCCCCCCCCCCAAAAAAAAAGCCTAGGCCTATAATAAGTAAATAAATTAATAAATAGAAACATATATAAAGGAATAACCTAAATAATTAAATAGATAAGTAAATGAAATAAAATAATAAATTCAAATGGTAATATTGTGATTATGCCATCTATTTTATCGTTTTCTTGCATAAAACGGGTCCTATCATTGAGGATAAATGATTGTTATGAGGCTGGAATTTTAAATTCTGTTGCGTAATGGACCTATCCTAAACACAAATAATTTGATGGGTGGGATGGGACAATGAACGGGTCAAATTTACAATCCAGATTTACACCACATCCACTTTTCCCCCCGATAAGTAGACCAATCAACGGCTAACCAGGAAGCGATTATAGTTAACTGCTTACACTTACAGCTGGGACATTGTTTTAAACGGTTATACCAGGGAGAGTGTTTCCCTGGTTAAACACCAAGATATAGTCTGAAGACTCCACTTCACAAACCGATTCGGAATTATGGTTGAAAGTAGAAAACGATGGATTAGTCAAAAACGAAATAATATCAAAACAACAATACAAGAAAAGAAAGTTGTAGATGAGAGATGAAAAATGGAAAGATTTACCACAGAAATAACGATGAAATGAATGCAATAACATGACTATATGATGTACAGCTTCACTTACATGTTTCATACTTTCAGTTCCATTGCCGCGGTGCATTGTTTTAGGTACGTACTTGAGAAAAAAAGACAAGAAATACAAATCTCAAAATTAAGATAACTTTCACAGTGTCAGAAGTGCAACACACTTTACACAATTACTACTAGAAATAACGGTATATTTACGTCTAATCATACCAGAGCCGGAAGTAATAAAATATCTCATTCACAAAAAAACGATAAGAGATAAGCGGGCGTTGGGGTCATTGCATGTCAAAAGTCATCATTCTGTTGTTTTTCCAGCACATGTATAGTCTCATAAGCCTGTCACTTTTTGAAATTATTAAGAAAAATAAAGTGCCTTTTAAAAAATATCTCTTCATAAATAAAACAGTATTAAAATAATTTGATTCCAAATTAAGTAGATATCAGATTATACGTTTTTTTTTAAGTTCATGGAATTACCTTCTAGGCTCAAAACTAATCCTTTTTGTTGCAGAATGTAGTAATTAAGTTGATAAAACAAGACTACGGCAGGTCGCGTGGCGGGCTCGCTCGAGGCATGCGGAGCTACAATAAAGCTAGGTGAATGCGAAATAACTCATACGATCAATACAGGTACACACAACCAAATTGTATTCATACTTTTGTGTATGGACCATTGTGTGGGCACGCGTACACCTCGCTCCCCGTACTACAGAAAAAGTGTACGATAACTCTCTGTATTCATCGAAACTTTTCGGAACTTTTCATCAACTTCCAGCTCGATAAAGAGTGATTTACAAATCACAAGAGGGGAATATTCTGAGAGAATTCCAAAGGAAAATTCTTCGAGCTGAATGCTAGCGCGATCGCAAACGTTTGTCGTCATGGGGAAAGAAAAAGTAGTCGCGATTATGAGAAATATCGAGGAGCATCAGCAGCGAGTGGAGCGGCACTCGCAGATCGACTCCAATGGGTAAGTTGTGGGGGTAATCGTAACAGGTGCATGGTGGTGTCTGGTGGTGTGTGTTTGTGTGAAGATAGGGAAACCATTTTCACATGCTCGTATACATTATTTGGGGTTTGGGCATTATCGAGCAGCAATTATTTTCTGTTTATAATAGTCAGGACGTGGGAAAGTTTTCTTTATTTTGCCTGATCTTTGCAGAAGTACAAGTAAATGAGAAATATCGTGCCTCCGCTCACATGGACAAGGAGATTTCATGCTTTACAATCAATACTTACAGTTATACCAAGGAGAACATTCTGGCCTGGTTAGACCGGTACAAATGCCGAGCAAAACAATCCATTCTCTCACCATCAATACACAAAAACACATGTACTAGATCATGGAAAAGAATATAAAAAAGGGGTGGCTGAATATATGTAACAGACGTACAAATGTATGCGATAATTAGCTTCAAGACATGATTGGAGTCAATTTCAAATGGACAAGGAAATGCTGGCAAGATCCCAAGTCGGCGTATTTATAGGCTAATTATCATACTTCGTAGATCGTTTTTCTCGGTATGTTGTATCTGTATTTATATCTATGCAGAGAATAATGACAAGGAAAAAATACGATTGCCGCTTTTTATTTGTGGGTGAATCCATGTCCCACGGGCGTGGTTCGTTCTTCTGTCAGTCAAATGTTTTAGGGTTCAAATTCCTGCATCATTGCCTGGTGCATGTTTTCGAATAGTTGACTCGTTCGACCCAGGTGTAGTTAACTAGTTGATGGGTACCTACTTGGGGATGGGCAGATAAGTCGGTTGTAACTTGTAAGACTGTATAAACGTTATAATTAGATCGCCATGAGCATCACTTTCTTATGGGCATCAGTGCTACACTTTAATCACATTACATATAATTATCAGTAAGAATAATTATGATGTCTCTTGTCCTTTGATAATTATAAAAACTTACTACTCCATATCTAGTTATGTTTCTTTAAAGAAGAGGATACAGGTAGGGTAACCCCCTCGCTACCCCCCCCCCCCCTCCCACACACACAATTTCCTCAACCTTTTCTAGGTCCTGTAAAGAAAAGAGAAAAAGGTCAGGTATAGGGTAATTGGTGAAAACTCTCTCTCCCCCCCCCCCCTTTCTTTCTCCTCCTCTTCTTCGTCTTCTTCTCCGTCTCCTTCTTGGCCGTCTTATTCTTCATCTCACTCGTTTGTTACAGTTTTATCGTCATATTTTCATCTTCTTTTCCTTTCCCTCCTTAATCCATTTCTTACAATCGTTCTTCTCCATCACCTTCCTCTTTTTCTTTTCATTTTGTTCTGGTTCTCCTTCCATTTCTTCTCTTTCTTCATTTCCTCCTTACTCCCCACCTTCATCTTCTTGTTCTTCTTTTTTTCTTCATCATCTTCTTCATCGCCTCCCTTCTCCTTCTCCTTCTCCTCATCAGCATCATCATCATCTTCCTTTTTGCAATGTTTTACAGAAAACAGATCTCTACGTATTGCGTCAGTCTTGATCTGATTAATGACATATATGGTCAACCAACCTTGTCATATTCTGAGGCAATTTGCACCCCTCGTTTCCCAGTAAGATCCTCTGTTGCACCCCTTATCCTTCCGCTTACCCCTCCCTCCCGTCCAGCAGTCCGATTCTCTACGTCATAAACCCTTATTAATACAGTTATTTTTAAACGATTGTGCGGTTCTAATTTCCCTCTTCCTCTCTTCTGTCTCCATGTCTTCTTTATTTTCTTCTCCCTCCATAATCTATCTTCTTCCCATTTTTTTCTTAGATTTTTTAAAATTTTAAGATAGTTTAATCTATTTTTAAAACAAAGGGAATAACGGAATGGAAAATCTTCATACAACAATAGTCCATCATATATAATTGTCCTAACGAGCAACAACTAATGTATGGATTACGAATTCCGACTATTGAAATACAATTGTTTATAACGGGTGAATTAAATAATTTGTACATGTATGAGGCACTTTACAAAGACGTATACGGTATATCAGTGTCAAATTTAGTTACTTTTACGAATACGGCCTGAAAATGTCCTAATGAATATAGAAGATACGAATCCCAAATCAAATGTTGAACTTCATATACTATAAAGTCCGGATTGTAAATTTTTAAATTCAAAGGTGAAATTATTCGGGTAGCAAAAGCTCCGTCTCCCCCCTTTCAATGCCAAATTGACGAGAACAAAATAAAAGAGAAATTATACTACAAAATGTGAAAAAGGTCAACGGAAATCATATTTAGCTCATAAATTGTATCCATCTTAAAGCAAAATAATATCGCTCAGACAATATTTAAAACAAGTCTCCTTTTTGTGGGGTGGGTCACTCTTTCCGATGTTTCTACCGGTGATTTTAAACGCTATGCTTCTCATGTAGTATGTAACGCATGTCGCACAATTTGTTTCCTTTTTGCAAAAAAAGAAAGAGTGTTGAACTTCCCAACCCATTATGTAAACGATGGAATCGTCATTTACCATCTGTGCGACCCGGATGACCTTCGTTGACCCGAGTGACCTCCAGTAAACTGGGTCAAAGATGATGATACCAATCCATCATCAGAACAGGTGGATCCGATTCGATGTGAATGCGAAGTGAATCCTCGTAGTGAATTTTACCAGGGAAAGGCCCACTGATTTGCAATGTACTTTGATTAAGTTGGCATACTATTGTTATCAATGTGCAGTTCAAATTCTTTGGACAATGAAAACGTTGAGCATCGTTTGCCTGTCTAACATAATTCCAGTCAGGGGAGAGTAGGATGAGTGGCAGGGTAAGGAGAGAGAGAGAGGGGGGTGGAGATACTGGGTTGAGAGGGGAGGTTAATTAAGAGAGTTGAGCGAAAGGGCGGAGAGGGAGAGGTAAGTCACATTGAGAAACAGAGAGATTGGAGGGGGTCAGCTTTAAAAACAGAAGGCCGCTTATACTCAGTTTGTGTGCCGATCAAAATATAGCATTTCGGGTGCCCCCCCCCCCTTTCATTAGGGCAATAATAGTTCACAATCATTTTAACTCGCAGCAATTTAATCGTGTAGAAAAAGGAGGGGGTCCATGAAGCGACCGTTTGCACGTCCAGCTAGAAAGTCATCTACAGCTAGTAGTACAAGCCCTTTAGAAAATGTAAACATAGCCACACCCTAACGAGTAACATACAGCTCTACAACTACAAGGGCACGGCAACATTGTACCTTGCATGGTCTTGACCTCCGCAAGAGGTTACCAATGACGTCACAATACCCCATCGGCATCTCATTAACTTTGTCAGACGATTAATTTCCGGGTTCGGCCTTTCAACTTCCTCTATCCCCTCCCCCATGCATCGCGGAGTCATTATTTCCCTACGCCGAAAACCCAGGTTCACTGTCGAGTGGGTATATGAAAAATCTGGTTTGGATTAGAAAGGTATTAACCTCAATTCACTTTTATGGAAACAAGGTGGAAACTATTACGTCTCTACGGATAGTGACCTTTAAAGATTGGAGAAGATTCAGATTTATAAACGAGTTTTTAGAGCTCTACATTCTTTATATTATTATCTTGATATATTTTCAATAAGAGAAAATGTAAATACATGTACATACATAGTTTTGATTGATGAAAAAATACAAGATGAAACCTTTATTAATGGATACCGCTTTGTGAAGGTCACCTATATCGTTTCTGTTCATGTCTTGTAGAACCTGTCTAGATAGAAAGGTCCCTGTGGCTGCTTTTTCTGCTTTTCTTGAGTGGTCGTAATAGACAGGTTTACATGTACACTTGAAGTATGTCTAGGACTCTAGGCACAGTAGATAGATCCATGATCTAGGACTAACGAAGCTGCCCACCACCATCCCTCCAGTCACCTATTAATTTATGGATACACCGCTGCGATGTACTTTAAAGAGAGATAATAAAGTTGAAAGCTTTTCTGTTGGCGTTAAAACTTCAAGACGCGAGCTACATTAGGCTGTAAAAAGAGCATCAAGTTTGTTTTAGCTTTTAAAGTTTGAAAATGTAATAATGTGAAATACGGGAGAATGTGAAATACGGGAGACTGTCAGTACTATTGCAAAAGAGTATAGCGTTAAATGTTATTATCTCAAAACTTTGGTCACATTTTTTGTGTAGAACACATCCTTTTTATGAAACAAAATCTTTTGGATTTGTATAAATTTCAGTATTGCCAAAGACCACAAGCGTGTTGTGATTGGCTCATGAGCTGCAGTGACGAGCGTAGGAAAAAGAGATACATAAGAACCAGATGGGAACTATTCAGACAGATAACTGTTACTTTTCAGGGGCGAACAGGTGTATTCATCTTTGGTCTGAACACGGTGTTACTATGGTTCATATGACATGGCGAAGAGAAAGACCAAGCGAACATCAGCAACTCAATGCGAGCAACAGACCAACGGGTATGAACACGGTTTTCAAGATGCGTTATCCTATATCATGATCCCTTAACGTCTTTGAAAGCCAACGTCATACGGTGGAGAACTTTCTTTTAGCGAACTTCAATGACATGTGCTCCGTCTTTAAAACAGTTGCGGTTAATTCAAATTGATCGCAATTTGATATGAATCGCTGTTTCTGTTTAAAGAGATAGGACTTGTAAGTTTATGATGGATGTTGGATAACTTGTGATCAATTCGAATCAGCCGCTTCTCTTAATAAGACAGGGCTATATGGTTCATTGTTTTGGTCATTGTCATATCTGCTTGTCCCCTCTCGCCATAAATTCGGCCAGAATCACTTCCGTGAAGAAACTTGCTTTTGAATGCGTTCCCACTAATTGGTTCTGATCAAGGGCCTGATTCGTTATAGTTCGTTTTTTATTTTGACGAACTTTTCTTGATGGACGTCCAGATATGACTCGCGTCGGCGCTGCGACAAGTTCAAAGTGTTTAAAATGTTCTTTGCGCCGGCGATTCAAGACGAATCCTAAGTATACTTTGTAATTTTTGCACGAAGAGAGAAGGTAATATAGGATGTAGCAACGACCTTCGCTTTAGGTCGTTATACGTTGGCGAATCAAGACTATTTCCACAAGGAGAGGAGGAGAAGGTGCAAGAAAGCTAATTTCCCAGGATCGGTGTAATTCGCTTGAGAAAATCTTCAAAGTGTGATTAGGGTCCAAGATCACGAAAATTGTTTCAAGATGGATCGCATTTTATTCAGATAATGTCTCCACTTCGGGATGTCATCCAATGGCATTTTCTTTAGGTTTTCTATTGAGTCACTGCCATCGGATGTCATTGTGGGGATACTAACAAGTCTATTGGCGGCATCGGTCGTTACGACGCATTTCCCGATTGTTATGTTGGTGAAAGTTTTTAATCTGATTCCAATTCTGATTCTTGTTCATTTCTTTGCATATTATTCTCTCTTCTCTTTCTATCTCTCTCTCCCTTTCCCTGTCTCTTTCTCTCTCTTCGAGCAAGAGTATCCAGTAATCTGGCATATTGCACAATGGGTCGAGACTGAAGTATAGCAAAACGCAAACATTCGAACGCAACTTTAATTCAACAATTCAGAATCTTATGGACTTACCTTACATGGCAATTTTTAAGCAAGGAGCTATATATGCTATTTTAATCACTTGTATTAATTTTCTTAAATTTTAGGTACTCATTCTTTTCATGAAGCTTATTTTGTTTTATCGGCAAAGTAAATGATAAACGGTGAAATTTTGGAGCATTGCCCCACAAGGATCTGATTATCCACTGCATGACTACATTACCGAACAAAAGGATAATGATAAACCACTGTCGAAAATATTGTCTCTGCGGTGGGGATGGTATCCAAAATTATCTGTTTTATCTTTTATTATGATTAGAGGGTGAATGCCTTTTTAAATTTAGAGTCAACTCGAGTAATGGGACCCGTTTCACAAAGCCTTTTTTTCAATGACAAGTGACAAATCTGCTAAAAACCAATCAGAAGCAAGGATATCACTACATGTAGCTTATAAGAAAAGATGTCGTTTGTCACTGATTTTGTAAAATGTGGCACTGGTCATGCACTATCACTGTGAAGGGAACTGTCTTTAAGTTATCGGGAAAGCTTATGTTTTAGTTCGAAACTATCAACTGAAATAACTGTTATTTTAAGGTGTAAGAATCATCAAAACAAAGCGAATGTATTCGCTTTTGCTGACGGTCGCATACATTGGAAAACACTGCATAGTGCATACAGATATTGTTTTGGGGACAACGCACTTTTGGTGCCATCATAAGTTAGTCCAATGATTTAGAATGTATTAAAGTTGTTGTTGGAATACGGTGGTATTTCAAGATGAGCATTTTTTTTTCAGGGGACAATTCCTCTGTTCCGCATGGGAATTTATTTAAGCAGCAAGCTCACAAATGCATTATTTTTTAAACATTTTTTGTATCTCTAACTTCTCTTTGATATCCTGATAAAACTAGAGTTGGCGAATCATTGTTCCTACGTTGAATGGAAACACGCAATCAAAATCAAATAAGCGTTTGGAGTTCACCATGCGGAAGTTATTGTGTGCGTTTGTGCTTGAATTGTTTCTCTTATTTCAGGTATCCTAACATTAATGTCCGAGCCCGAACTCGGATATTTCCTGATCAGTCTACCTAAGTCAATAATATTTACACACCCTGTGGTTTTCCTCAACATGATACGATTCCGCCTAGTGTTAAAGTTCAAAGGAACCAGTCAACGACCGTTTCTTCTGAAGAATCATCAAGCAGCACTGTTTACCCAAGTCCGTGATATTTATACACATACGTTTTGGTTTTCCTCAATAATGATACGATTCAATCAAGTGTCAGGGTTCAAGATAACTCTGATTGTAGTAGTGCTGGTTATTTTACCTGACTGCTAAGAAAGCATAAATGCTTGTTTGTAAGCAACCAGAAGACCGACGGCTTTAGGTCATTTCTGAGGGACCTGGTAATGAGGATTAATGCCTTACGCTCTTACCAAAATCTCTGAAACGACCGTTTCTTCTGAAGAGTCATCAAGCAGCACTTGTGATTGACATGGTCGGTCTCTGAATCAGAACTTCTCAGTTGGAGACCTTTTTTGTTATTCAATAAGTAATGATTCAAAGCCTATGCTTCGTTTGTTTTAATCATAGCACTAATGAGAGTGGCCAAGGTCCTTCATTTGATATTGAGATTTTCAAGACCTGAATGTGAAAGTTGAGGCGGAAGACATTCATCAAGGGACAACTTCCGGAGAACTGTAAGGTAGACTTCCCAAGTGACATGGTCTAGGACCTAGGACTAAAAGGTTCTTAGACCATTGCTCGACCACCTGAGCTTGATCGCCTCTAAACTTGACAACCTATTTGTCTTTTTCTCTTCATGTGCTTCATAATTGAGACTTGATTAACTTTACACTTCCCCAATCAATAACGTCTTGGTTTTCTCTCTTCTTGAAAATGTAAACCACTGTAGAAACCACTACTGTGAATCCCTCCTTCCTGGAGCATCAGTAAAGTAAGGAATCCATCAAAGATGGTTACTTCTTCAGAACCATCCAGCTTTGAAAATCACCTGGTAGGACATGGTCTCAGACATTGCACCTTCAGCGTCTAAGATCATTGTTTTAACTAAGCTAAAGCACCTTTAAAGTTGATATCCTGCTTGTCTTTTCTCTTTGTGATCAGTGAAACCTTGGAGGTCCTCTTTGTCACTCCTCTGACTTGGAAATTGGAATGCCACAAGTGCAAGGAATCCGTCAAAGACCACTCATTTCTTTTTGAAGGCTATAGTACATTTTCTTGTTGACATTTTCCCGGACCCATGCCCTGTAGGTTCCAAAACTATGACTCTATCGTGAAGTTAATTAAAGTCAAACCTGTCTACAGCGACCGCCCAAGGGAAACAAAAATGTACTTGTTGTAGACAGGTGGTGACTAAAGCAGGTTTGACTGTACCACCCTTTGAAGATGTCCTTTTTGTCTTTTTTTTCCTCAGCGAAACTGTTGACGAGGTCCTCAACGTGAATCCTTCGTACCTGGAGTGCCACGGATGCAAAGAGTCTATCAAGGACCGCTACTTCTTAAGAGCCATTGAGAAGTATTGGCATGAAGACTGTCTCTCCTGTGACCTTTGCCAGTGCCGACTAGGGGAAGTAGACTGTCACATGTACAGCAAACTTGGAAGGAAGCTCTGCAAGCGGGATTATCTGAGGTAAGTAGGTGAATATTTTGGGTTGCAACCTACAACAAATTAAACTTCTTTTTTCGTTATAAATAAACACCAAAATTATGTGGAATTAGAGACCATGTGGCAGCAGTGAACAAAGGAAACTGGATAATCACCTACTTCTAGCCTGAAAAGAAATTGTCCCTCTCCCATTTTCAAGAGCTGGAAATTAAATAGACATTCTCCCCTAATCATCACATCATAATGAACAAGCACCCCCCCCCCCTCCCCCAATTCCTTGCTTCAGTTTTTTTTGTTGTAAGTACAAGGAGAGTTGCCAAACTACTATTTGATTGATCAATAAATGGGGCAGGGACATGACCTTACCTAGTAGTATCATGCTATTTATTTATTTTGATTTTGACAATGTGTTCCTATGGTTAGATAAATTAGTATCCCCACCAAACCTCTGGTTGTATGGTGGGATGTGAAACCTGTCATGACAAGGCAACTTGAACGGCTTTATGAATAGTTAGATTAAACGTCAATGACAATGTAGACTTCACAAACTTGAACCCATGCCAAAGCCAGCAAAGACAATGGCTCCCTTCCAAATCTACCTGCACAATGACTATTGTTTAATCAATCATTTCCATGTTGTACGTGATAGGATGAAATGACATGGTTTCACAGGCGACCTGTTTCAAAAGAATGTCAAACTGTTGTGGTAATTCCAGTTAATGTAGATGAAAGTGCATTGTATCGACAGGAATATTGGGATAATCCATTTGTCATGAATAATCTTTGTTCTTCCCCTCCCCAATTTTAATTATCTGTACTATACTGGGTCCCAGGCTTGAGAGAAATATACACTAAATAGGTTAAAGTGACTGGTGGGAATTGAAACATGGACTGTTTTGTTACATCCTCAAATCCCCCTCCCCACTCTTCCCGCCACTTCCCTTTCCATTCAACTCTTAATTAGTGACAAACCAGCACAGAATGGAGCTGGAATGTGCCTCCTCCATCATTTGGGGGGGGGGGGGGGGGGGGATTCAGCCTCCCCATAAGCAGTTTCCTGACACATTAATGTTCTAGCAAAAGACGTACTGCTGATGGTAACTTTGCCATCAATGACAACTACCACGGTATCAGGGCTCAACAGCCAATCAAAATCAAGGTGCAAAGGGGCCATATTCTAGCAAAAGACTTACTGCTGGGAGTGGTGATTATATCGATGGGATATCACCACATTCCAGTTAAAGACTTACTGTAAACATCCCCCACCCCAAGTCTTCTTACTTTCTCTTGATATATATCATTCCTGCCTAAGGGCACAGTCTAATGTTTGAGTATTGACTTTTACTTGCTCTTCATCAGAAACTTAAAGCCCCATTGCCCTTCTGATAGCTACTTGCGCCATCTATATAGCAAACAATGCCTAATCGGTGCCTGTTGGTTCTCCACGATCCCCTTTTTTTTATGTAAATTGAGAGCTGACTTGATAAGATAACCACCTGTCAGGGCCCTTGCAGGAAGGTCTAATCCCCCTGGCCAAACTAGTGCAGAAGTGCTTTAATGTCTCTAATATAATATACTGATTCATTATTACCTTTAATCTTTTTACAGGCTATTTGCTCCAAGCGGCGTGTGTTCGGCGTGCAACCGGGCGATCCCCGCTTATGAACTCGTCATGACCACCTCGTCCGAATGCCGTTACCACCTGGAGTGTTTCAAGTGTTCTCAGTGTGACAAGCATTTCTGCGTCGGGGACAAGTACTTCCTGGTTGGGTCAAAGATCATGTGCGAAGACCACTGACAACGGACACTTACCAACTATACATGTTGTAGGAAAACTGTATGATGGGCGATTATCTTTTTCTTGTGTGAAAGACATGTGCGACGACCACTGACCTGACACGACATTTACCCACTCATTCAGACAAAAACTACTATACAACGCTTCATACATAAACTGTACCATAAGAATCTATAATTCTCTTGTGTGAATGACTTAAGTGTTATGTCAAGTAACAAAACATAGCAAAATTGCATGTTATGAAATGCCGTTTTGATCCAACTCTGTACAGTGAAATTTCATAGAACGAAATGGAGGTTTAGAGCATAATTTTAAATGCAAACTCAAGAACGTTAAAGAACACCAGTCTACAAATCATTCGCAGATTGCATTATTCACCAAGATGGTCAGTTTCTGCAGCTTCAACAGAAAGAAGAAGAGTCAAGAACTAGAATGGATCACAAGTGGGAGCGTTCAATGTCTGATGTTTTTCCTCTGTCTTTTTCCCCTCTCTCCTCCCCATCTCTGTCTTCTCTTTCTCTCTCCCTTTCTATCTCCATATATATCTCTGTCTTTCCCTCTCTCTCTCTCTCCCTCTCTCTCTTTGTTTTTCTCCAGCTATATCTTAAAAGTTGATTTTGATGAGAAAGACCACTGCCTTATTTATTAAGAACCAGACATGTGCCTTTTATGCACACTTCAGAGACTGGTGACTTCCGTAATTTTTGTAAAAAAGTTTTGTCATATTTGTCAACTTTGGCAAGTGAAATTAACTTGCCCTTTTGTGCTATCTGGTAAGTTCTTTTTGAAGCACTGTATGACTTCACAGGGAGTCAACTTCGGATCTTGCTTTGTCAAAGTCAGTCTGTAGATGTTGCTTGAATCTAGCGCGTTGCATTCAGTTACCAAATTCAGCTATTCGACGGTTGGCACAAAAATATTCAAGAAAGTGTAGTCTTCACTTTTGTAGGACGCGATTCACGTTTATAGTTTGAATCTCGCATGCTCCTAGAATGTCGAACATTCCAATTATCATACGTAACATTCCGCTGTACATACAAACAAACAATGTAGATTTCATGATCATCACACTTTGTTTTCAGTCATTTTAAGGCCATCGCACAACTTAGGACACGACTGGATTTCCACAGAAATGACATCAGATATGATTGAAGACACAGGCCAAGTTGGCCTTTTCTCTGGTAATATCCGTCAATATTCACGCTTGTAGCTGGGTCGTAAGTTGTGCGTTGGCCTATTTTAGTTTCTTATAAAATATACATTGTAGCTCACTTCAGACTATGGACTTGAATTCAAAACAACATTTCAAACAAATTCTCTAGCAAGTAATCATTAGTTTTATTCATTATTCACATCTTATAATGGCTTTTCCATTTATGGAAGAAAATACAAGCAAAATACATGTATAATGCACCACCTTTGTCAGGTGGTGGCACACAAAAACAAAACATAAATGAACAAAAATACAATATGATCTGATAACATAAGTCAAAAACTAGAAAAATTAATATTTTTCATTTTAGCTGAACAAATTTTTCTTTTTCTTTTAATATTCATTCTGTATATAAATTGATATAAATGTATGGATATCATAGATCTATTAATTTAAGTACAGACAAGCTGGAATACTATCTTTTAGATTTAAAAAACATGATTTATTCACTGTGAACTTAAAATTACTTCTCATTTAATACAACAGAACAGCATTGTTTTGGGAAAAAAACAGTGCACTTTTATTGGCTAAGATAAGACTCTTATCCATCCAAAAATCGCAAGAGCAGTTTTCCTGTAAGTCTTTTTTGTTTTCTGTGACAATCATCTAAATTCTAAATGTTTGATCACGCTCTTGTACAATAATTAGCCAAGTTACGATGACTGGCGTGCCCGAAAAAAAACCCACGATAACGTCTTGTTTACAATATTAATAGTGTTTAGTGAGGGACCCGCAATGATTATTACCGCAATGATTATTACCCCAATATTTGCTAGGTACCCATATGTTTAAATACGACTTGGTCGAGGTGTGGACAAACCAGTATACTGGGATGTAAGAACAAATCAAGGATCAAACTTGGGACATCTCGTATGAAGTAGGGGCCGGTATTCAATTCAAAACTTACAGTATGTCAGAAATATGAGTATTTTACTTAGTTTTCAGCTTAGATAAAATACTTAGCCAACTTTGGTATTCAGTCGAAGTTTTTGGCTAAGTATTTTACCCTAAATTCAAGACAACTCCCTATCAGACTTGAGCCCATTATGTTTTGTTATCATAAGCTGCGCACAATATACTAGCACACATTCAATGCAAATTGTTTTAGGTTGACAATGTGACGTCACAGTGATTAAGTCGGCTCACTAAAATAAAATGCTCGGATATGATCTAAATACGAGATAAGACATCTTACTTTGCCAGGTAAAATGCTAAGTAAAATACAGATTGAATCCACTTAATTGAATAAGGCCCCAAGTTTGCCCAGGTCCATTTTGTTTAGTTGAACATATCTTTTCTCTGACGTAAATGATATAAATATTGTCCCTCTTCGACCTTAAGTGGTTGATTCTTATTTGTGTTGTGTTAACTTTAAAGATCACAGCGATATATTCCAGAAGTATTCAAAATAAACTGCCCAATTCATCTGGCAGTGTATTCACAAACTATTTTAGAAAATAACAATACAGTGTATTTTATAAGAAAAGCATTAATATTCATATATTTATTTTGGCCCCTAATATGAGTGTTTTTATTATATAAATATTTGATTTTTGTATGGAAATTGGTATAAAATCTATTCATGTGTCCCAAGTGTACTAGAGTACATTATAATATATGGTTTACTTTACCAGATATATATATATCACATATTTCTTTTATATAAGAACACAGCGCAATTGTTTAAAATATGACCAACAAAATATGGAAACTATTCTATTTTATACAATCCTAATACAGCTGCTAAATAAATACTTTGTTGTACACAGATGTATGTAATTTTGATTATTTTCTTTGGAAGTGATCATATCTTTTTTTTTTAAATAAAAACCATGAAGAGTGCTTTGTACCAATTGAAAGGATTCCGTACATGAGTTTCTAAGAATCCTATTACATTTCTAGATTGTATTTTATCATGTTATTGTTTGTGCTAGTATACATCATTGTGTACTTTGTTGCTAATAAGTGTCATACAAATAGTAATTTTATCATTGTACATAGTTATCTAAATGTATTTTGTACTAAGCTGTATTTGTGTAAAATGTATTTTTGAAGCAGTAAGCATCTTATGTTACATGTATATACTACTTGCTGACAAAGGATATAATTCATGATTATATTACATGTACATGCATACTTATATATGAACAGCATTGTTATATTATGTAGGTGTAACCGTAAACATATAGAATTGAATATACAGGTATATCTGTAACAAGGCTTTAAGTACATGCTTATGTAAAGGAATGGCACATATATACCATTCCATAGAAAGGGAATCCTACATGAGTTTAAAAGGATGTTTCCCATTAATACTGTGAAATTACATGTACATATCTCCATCATTAATCCCAATTTATGAATTGATCATCTAACTACAAATCGTCTGTTGAGATCCAGAAGGGCATTAACTTTGTATGAAAGTAAAGTAAGAACCTGTACATAAAGACCGCTCAGGAGAAACATGAAATGTGGTCTTCATAGGCAGGTTGCCTGTATGTACAAGTTTCTTATATAGTACATGTTTCAATGAGAAACCATTTTCAAGGGAAACAAAACATTAGGTCTTTGTAGACAAATCGTCTTTCTATACAGGTGGTCACTAAAGCAGGTTTGATTGTATTGAAGTTCATGATTATGAATAAACGCCCTTCTGGCTTCAAACAGACGATATGTACTGCTTTTTGGGAGCGATATTGTAAAACCAGAACATTTCGCAAATTGTTAAGAACAGCCATTTTAACTGCAAACAATCGTTGTACAATCATTTTGTGGACTTAAACTTGCAAACATTTCATGCACGCGAAAGTTTCTGGTTTTATTTTACCGGTAGATGAATTAAAGTGTGTACATGTATGTAACTCCATATTTATGTTAGAGAAAGTAAGTAGCATTATTATTCCATTACATGCCTAGGATACCCTACGTGAGTTTGAAAGGGATCCTTTAAATATGATATGTGGAGTTATCAAATAATATTTACCTACATATTTGTGTAATTTACCCCACTATATATTCAGTTGTCCCTTTGGCATTATAAGTCCCCCTGCAAAGTTTGGGCTTTGGAATATCTACATTATTTTGTACCTTCATAATCCCCAAATCCCATTTTGTTTTATTTTACAAGAAATACAAGCTTTTCTCTGTCCAATTATATTGGATACTATATACAAACTTTAGGCGGTTTGAAGCATTTAACGTTTGGTTGGATTGCCCATCTTTTAAAATGACGTATCTCCAGGTTGCTAAAAAATAATTAATTTTTTTAGAGCAACATAATAAATACCGGCAAGGAAATATCTTATTTCGGAATGAATTGGAAGAATTGGCAGCATTGGATCAAGGGGCTATAAGCTTATAGTTCCATGATTGGATCGACTGCAAAAACAGCTGGACGGTCTTGACAAGCCATTCATTGTACACTAATATGTAATGCATTATTTTGTTGTAAATAAAATTGTATTTGAGATATTGTTCTTCATTCAAAGCATGTATATAAATAAATTCTTTTAAATCACGAAATGCTTTTAACGCTGTCATTATTTGTTTGTTTTGTCCCCCTAAACCAAATTTAAAAGCACATTTGAAAGGAATGTGTCAGTTATCCGCAGTAGGTCTCAGATATTAAAGTCTTTCATTTATACAGCTCCATTATGTTTATATTTATGGTAATACATACATAAATATATGCTGCATTATTGTAGAGCGCTAAAAGAGACTTCTGATAAAGAAAGAGTCAGGCGCTATACAAGCAAGGATAATTATTATTATGATAACATTTGTTATGACTTTATGACTTTATTACATTTATGACTTTTAAAAAGCATTTTAAATTAGATATTGACTAAGAATCATCAAAAGAATAAAAAAGAATAATTTGTACCCAGATTGAAAACTTCAATGAAATATGAACAAATAACACAAATTGATTTATTAATTCTCACATTAGTTGTGAAAACATAATCCAGGTCTACTCACCTAGAATGACCTTAGACATTGTGACCTTGAATTTGTGATAGTTCATACCCCTTGGGTACAGTTTTCATGGAATTTGAACAAAGACTTTTGAAATTATGCTAACAATTCAAAATATTGATGTTGATGCCACAACATACTGAAGTCTAAGTTTGTTGACCTGAGATTACACTGGTCTTTGACTTTGCGACCTAAAATTATAGTCACATGATTGGGAATACTTTAGAACCGCTATGTTCAAGTTTTTATGGAAGAGGAATCTATAATTTCAAATTTATGTTAAAAATTCAAAATCTTAACCTTTGGTTAAGTTTTTGATGTTGATGTCACAAGATAGTCTAAGTTTGTTGACCTGAAATGACCTTTGACCTTGACTTTGTAACCTAAAACTCACATCATTGGGGATACTTGATTAACCTTTAGTCTAAGTTTCATTAAATAAGAACTTGTACTTTAAACATTATATTAAAGATTAAAAAACTTAAAGGTAAAGACCAGTTATGGTCATGCGATTGCATTGTGAAAGAAACGTTGTGGAATCGATCAGAAAAGGTTGATCATCTAGCATCTAGCATCTGCCAGGTTCTGGAATCATCAAAATGATAAGAAATTTGGCCCATTCTTCGTAAAGTTACAAGCACTATACACAGAAAGATGTATATGGGACTACCCTATATCTCTCACAGACCATGAGAGAAACAAATTTACCAAATATATGAATTAGTAGGCGGTTTCCCGGCAAATCTTTTATCATCATGTATTAGTCAAAACATATTCTTTCACATGATTGGTAATGAGAGCTTCAATTTCATTTTTTGAAATTGGGGCGTTTCCAATACTGGTCTTTACCTTTAACCTTAGGTACAGTTTTTGACGGCGACTGGAAAAGCGGCGCTTATGTCTTGCTTTTTCTATGCAGGCGAGAAAAAAAAATCATCATTTCAGAATGACACCTGACAAAGTCATTAGGAACTGGCAACATGGAGAAGTAAGAAGAAAAAACTTCCCATTAACTGATTTTATAATTCAATAATTTAAATCATTAGTATTTAGTGTCTTCAAGAAATAATTTCTTAAGGACATATTTTCTGGCTAATCTTGTATTTCATCAACAGTAATTTTGTGTGATTGTCTATACCATACCACTATCTCCAACAGGTAATTTTAAAATTAAGAGTGATCTTGTTTGATTGTCTACACCCTATCACTAAGAGGATGATGACGACGAGGAAATTAAAATGCTGATGAAAATAATAATGATGATGATATTGATGATGATGAACAGGGGGAAGAGGATGTTGGTGATGACAACGATTATGACGACAATGTTGATGGGGATGACGATCAGACCAGGGGGTGTCACTTATAAGTGACACCTCCCTGATCAGACCCTTGACAGCTGCAAGGTTGAAGTTAAAGGTAAAGACCAGTTATGGTCATGCGATTGCATTGTGAAAGAAACGTTGTGGAATCGATCATAAAAGGTTGATCATCTAGCATCTAGCATCTGCAAGGTTCTGGAATCATCAAAATGATAAGAAATTTGGCCCATTCTTCGTAAAGTTACAAGCACTATACACAGAAAGATGTATATGGGACTACCCTATATCTCTCACAGACCATGAGAGAAACAAATTTACCAAAATGAATTAGTAGGTGGTTTCCCGGCAAATTTTTTATCATCATGTATTAGTCAAAACATATTCTTTCACATGATTGGTAATGAGAGCTTCCATTTCATTTTTTGAAATTGGGGCGTTTCCAATACTGGTCTTTACCTTTAAGGAGAAGCATGCTCATAATTTCTTCCCTAATAACATTGGAAAGATAATGTATGTATAATCATGATGATGATGTTGGTGGTGGTATTGATGATAGTGGTGAGGAGGAGGAATAAAGGGAGTAAAAGGATGATGATGATGATGAGGATGATGAGGATGAGAATGAGGAGGAGGAGGAGGAGGAGGAGGGAAAAAAGAATGCTGATGATAGTGATGATCAGACCTGCCGGTTAAAGTTGCAGACCGGTAGGTTCTTCTAACTCGCTCCTTATAAAATTGGAAAGATATAAATATATGTAATTACAATGATGATAATGGTGGTCGTAGTAATGATAGTGGGGATGATGATGATGAGGAGGAGGAGGAAGAAGAGGAGATGGAAAAGGAGGAGGAGGAGGAGGTGGAAAAGTAGAATGCTGCCGACAATGATGATATTGGTGATGATGAAAATGATGATGATAGATATGATGATGATCAGACTGTAGACAGCTGCAGGGTTGAAGTTACGGACCAGCATGTTCATATAGTCTTCTTAATCGTTCTTATTAAAATTTGAAAGATATACATGTTTATGTTAATACAACGATGAAGGTGATGGTGTTGATGATGCTGATGATGATAAATGACGATGGTGATGGTAATGATGATGATGGTAATGACGATGATGCGATGAGAATAATGACGATGATAAGGATAATGAGGATGATGATGGTGAAGAGGAGGAGGAGGAGGAGGAGGATGGTATTGGTGATAATGATAAGGAGTAGGAGAAAGAGGATGATGATAACGATGATGATCAGCATTTCTACCGCTGAAGATTTGAATTTAGACACCAGTTAAGCGCCTTTAGCATTTTCTGAAATGGATTATGCTGCTTTACCAAATAATAATAATATAAAATTATCATTAGTATTATGCGGTACTTGGTGTTGAAAGCATGAGTTCAAAATGTTGGTAGGTGGGCCGGATATATATTTTCAAATTACGTTGGAAGCCAGCCATCACGTTTATACACACACTCTGAATCCACCCTCTCAATTACATCAGTAGTCGGGCTTATATCGATACTGAAATGGTGAACTTTCTGCCCTAGCATACCGTTTATTGCACAACGCCATCTCATGGTCAACTTGCCACCGCAGGTCTGTAGGGCCTACCGCCAACAGCTCAGCCAGGGAAGCGGCCACTATACTGCTACAGCTGACCTGAGGTGGCGCTATAGAAGGGATTTTCAGCAGTGCTAAATACAGTGTGAGTCACCAACAAGTTTACACCTAGAAAATTGCTAATTATTTCATAAATCATCTATGAACAGTAAATTATTATACATCCTATGAAAGAGTGTTTGATCCCGAATCATTTAGTAGCATTTTTGTGTGGTATGTGTTCTTTGCTTGGATGAACAGGAGGCATTGTTTGCGAGAGTGCAAAATGTGATATCTGAATTCTCTGATGGTGCTCCATGTTACTGGTTAATCAGGCGCTTGTTGATCCCGACAGCATTGTCCCCTACTACGTACATGTAGTATGAAACAGGAACGTCATCATCAGGTATATACTTCTCTTCAGGGAGATTGAATTTGTTTTTCGGACTCTCCAGGCCTTTCTTTAGTTCTGACTCATCGTAGATACTGGCATCAAAGTTGCTTGTGTGATGTTTGAAGAAAAAAAAGGGATTTAGGGATTAAGTTGGTCATTGCAGATCCAAATAACATCCTTAACAAAATTCATCATGCCACACATATCAAATATCGAATATCAAATATCAACAAACATTTGTGCGCGTGTGTTTGTGTGACTTTGCAACTTTGCTTCTGCAAATATCCAATGCATCTCATTTGATACATTCAATTCATTCTGTAGTCATCGCTTTGACGCAAGTCGATTTTTGCTCTCTTGCAAACAATGCCTCCTGTTCATCCAAGCGTGAATATATACCACACAAAAATAAAAACCAGGTGATTTGGGATAAAACGCTCTTTCATATGATGTAAAATAATTTACTGTTCATAGATGATTATTTAAATAATTAACGATTTTCTAGGTTTGAACATATTTGTGGCTTACACCCATTTTTTTTATTTTTATTTGTGGCTTACACCCTGATTTATTCTGATAAGTCAGAATGAATCAGGAGAGCTTGTTGTTTTTATATCCCTTATCGTAAGATTGTTGCAACGAATCGTCTTCTTTCTATAATAATTAAATCAAACGTCTAGGCTTTTCGCGCTTCGCGCGGGAAGGGGAAACTGAATTCAGACGAGAATTAGTGTCGAAAACAGTACACTCAATCGTCTGCTTTCTCTAATAGTTTAAGGAAACGTCAAGACTTCCGCGCTTTGCGCGAGAGGGGGAAACTGAATTCAGATAAATGGGGCTTATTAAGAGTCGAAAACAGTACACTCAATCGTCTGCTTTCTCTAATAGTTTAAGGAAACGTCAAGACTTCCGCGCTTTGCGCGAGAGGGGGAAACTGAATTCACTATAGGGCTTATTAAGAGTCGAAAACGGTGCAACGAATCGTCTGCTTTCTCTAATAATTTAATGAAACGTCAAAACGTCAAAGGCCTATCACCCACACACCCCTAATGAGGGAGCGTGTGCGTGTGTGGGTGTGTGTGTATTGTATGTTTGTGCGTGCGCGATCGCGCGCGCTTGCGTAAATAGTGTGGGCGTGTGATCGTGCTAGTATGTGAAGGCTATCGCCGATCATCCTCCCCCCCCCCCCCCACTCCTCGGTACGGATTTACGCCCCTGTGCCACACA